GGGCAGGCAGGCAGGGGGACAGGCAGCAGCGGTGGCAAGGATGCCCTCGTCCAGGGCTGCTCAGCGTCCTCTCACCTTGCGATACAGCCGTGCCGCCCAGGCGGCTAGCCGGGGTATGGGGTAAGGACTGCATGGCTGGGAAGCGGCACTGAGGGTATGGCCAGGGCTGAGGCAAGCATCCTACCCTGCGGCAGCTGGACTGGGGACATGCCCGGCCCCTTTACCTCCAGCTTCTGCCTCTCCAGAGAGGCTTCGGCACACGCTGCCCTAGATTTCACTGCAGCTGGTCTCCTGCCCAAGCCCTCTGCAGAGCGCTGAGGGGAAGGAAGGCTGCTGCCGGGAAGGCTGCGACAGCCCAAAGGGCTGGGGTGAGTTTCTCTGCCTCACTGGAAATGGCCAATGATCCTCACGCCAGACAAAAAGATCTAGTAAGTAGAATGGTTCTGTTCTGCACCCTGAGGTCAGGCCGTGCATCCGGCAGGGCTCAGCCTTTGCGCTGCACAGCTGGGAGAAATGCCCTGGGGTCATCACAGAAACTGAGGGGGGAAAGAGATTTTTCCAGCAAAGAGATGCTTAATCCAGCACCTCTGCAGATCTGAAGCAAGGAACAGATCTTAATGCCTGCAAGCCCCAGAGAGGCTGTGCTACTGAAGTAGCCACTTGCTTTCCTTCCTAGCGTCCTGGCATCACCCATCGAGGGCCTGCTCCTGCCAGCTGTCTTCAGGCTCCAAACCCATCCCTCCTCCCCATCCTGCCTTTGCAGGGAGTGGGACTGTGGGTCTGGGGCCATTCGGGTGGAAGGGGCTGGGGTGAGATACACATGTGGATCACTACCTCCGGCTGGAGTGGGACGACCTCGTGCCACACGGGAGGAGAGCCACAGAGAGGCCATCCATGTGTTACGTTGGGGTTAAACAGCCTTTCCTTGCTGGAAGCTGGGTTGTGGTGAGTGACTGTTTGCAGCCCTCCCTCTTCCCACTCAGACAAAGGACAGGAAGGCAGGGGGAGGGGATACAGCTGTATCTGGATTATGGGGACAGAGTAGATGTTAGTCCCCACCACCTGAGCCCCTAAGGGACCTGCAAGGCCACCTCCGTCCCCAGCTAGATGTGAAGGGTGCGCTGCAGTAGCTGTGTCTGCTGCTGGCCACGTACACCGGCCTTCCAGGGAGAGATTTTGGGGTGGATGGTGAGTGTCAGAGGCAGGAGACAGCTGGCACGTCTCCAGGCACCCATTGCCCTTCTGGCCCTGCTTGCCTCAGCCCCAGACACTGAACCTTTCCTTGCTCTGGAGCCAAGTGGAGCATCTCCTCTGAGCCAGAGGTTATCCTCCAGCAACCCAGCCTGGGCCGCCTCCTGCCGGGAACCAGGCAGCAGAGGTGTCACCAGCAACCGCCCTCTTAAATCAGCTTCACTTGGCACACGGAACAAAGCAGCAGTGAAAAGGGTGGCAATGCAAACAGCGGATGCAAGTGGTTAACCTTGGCTAACCCTCTATTCATTACCAGCTGTACTGGCCGTAGTGCCCTAGCATGTATTCATTACAGGGGACAGCTGGAGGGGCTACGGGATGTGCCTCGGATGCATAATGCTACCCTTTGACCAGTCGGTCAGAGTGCTAATGAGACTTCCTAGAAGCAGTAGCATCGCTGCACATAAAACAGAGCCATTCCCAGGAGGCCGGGTAGACACGTTTCATGTCTCAAGGTGCCTCTCATAGCTCTGGCCCCGGTTTTGCACACCCTGACCTCCCCAGCAGGCTATTCCTCACTCGGCTCCCAGGACTCCTCTGTGGGAGTCAAGACATGGAAAATCATGTGCAGAAAGCTTAGCCCTTGGCTACCTCTTTGCAAAATGGGGGCTTCCCTTCCTGAGGCTGTACGGGAAGGTACCCCATACAGAAGAGGAAGGTAAGTGACTGAGAGGAGGTCAGTTGAGACATTGAATGTCCAAAATCAAAACCAGGGTAACATCACTGAGATAAAATCCAGAAAATAAGGACATTTCTGGAGATCTTTTCTCCTGGTCTCAGGACTTTTTATAGATGCTCAGGAACCCGACTCTGAAATATCTGCTCCAGCCACTGCAAGCTCCTGGCTCCAGCAGTGAAGCCTGCAAAGGGGTGGCCACATATTGCGATGGCCACAGCAGAGTTAGCAACATCTGCTGGCTCTGGGCAAAGTGTCCCTCGGTGAGGTTGAGGGATGACCTATAAACCTCTTAGTGAGCCTTGAGACTGGCTGCCAGCAACTTCCCTCCTTCCTCCTCTCTGTGTAAGAACAAAGAGTTGAAGGAATAAAGGAGAGGGCAACAGACTCCCAGAGCACGAGCTACTGTCCGGGCAGCACAGGAATTGCATCCCACGTGGCCCAGATCCTGCACCCATCCCATGCAGCTGCTCAGCTGGGCTTTCTTCCCACCTCGCCCTGTTCGCTGTCCACGTCTGGGCTTTATTTGACCCCATTACTGAAGTAGCCGAGTGCCTCACAGCCCCCTGCCCCATGTCCCTCATCATTCCCTGTCTTTCTCTCTTGTTTCCCACTCTGGGGTAGGTGAGACCCCAGCAGGGCTGTGTGGGGTGTGTGCTGGAGGGTGCTGCAGCAGGATGAGGGGCACAGCACAGCCACCCGACTACAGCAGTGGTGGTGTGGGGCAGCCCAGGAGAGGATGAGCGAGGAGCAAGGTGCAGGAGAGCTGGCTGGCTTGGCCCTCCGTGCTGTGCCAGAGAGATGGGCTTTCCTGGCTGGCAGCAGCTTTGAGAAAGCTGGAAGAAGACAACAGGAGCCCCAAGGGACGCTTCATCAAGACTAGCTGTGACAGGTGTAAGACCGGATTGCGGTGGCGAAGCGCTTGGCTCGGCAGGCTGCCTCCTCCGGCAGCTGCCCAGCAGCATGAGGTGCTCCAAATTGCCAGCCTGGCTCAAGCCAATGGTCTATCTTCTGCTCTGGTCCCCCCAGGGTGCTGCTCGCTGCTTCAGGAGAGGATGGTGATAGCTCAGAGTGCCCTTGCTCAGTGGAGAAGAGCAGGAGGGGGAAGCCATCCTCTGTCAGACCTCTCCTCTGCGGGCAAGGTGGAACGGAGGTGGTATGAAGCCAAGACCTTTTGGATGTTACCCGTAGTGCTGTGCACGGGCGGCTGTGCTGCCATCCTCTTACATGGAGGGAACATCCCTTCTCCCACTTTAACATAACAGACTTCCCAAGTGGTGTAAAAGGAGCTGGGTGGAGGTACCCTTCTCCTTGCCAAGGGTGGTCCTTCGCAAGGTCTACCCCCAGCATACGATAGTGGGATGTTAAAGCTTATATATAAAATGTAAATTTTTCCCTGTCTAGAGCCATCCTTTGTGTCCGCACAGGAGCTTTGATGTGGGAACGCTAGGCAGGGTCGCCAGCCAGCTGTGCAGCCTGTAGCAGCCTAAGCCTGCCCTCAAACAAATTCCCTCTGACCTCTCCCCAGCCCCTGTCTCTGCCTGCCCTGCCTGAGCTGTCACAGGGACCCCAGACTGGTGCTGTCGGTGTCCCCAGACCCGGTGACCTCTGAGTCGTCTTCCTCTCCAAGAGGCATGTGTCACCCACCAAACGGCAGTCTCCTGCCCTGCTGCTCATGTGCTCCTCTGCAGCCAGTGGGTTCTGCTGAGAGGAGCGGAAAACTCCGCTGAAGTGATGGAAAGGGATAATTTAGTGTGAGATACTTGAACTGAAGTGGCACCCAAAACAAGAGGAGTGCTTACCAAGCAAAAATCCATGCTGTCCCTGTCCTGGAAAAATAACCATCTAATGAGACAAAGCATGGGGGAGTCTAGTAATTAGAGTAGGAGAGGCTCTAGTTTGCAGCTGGTTTGTATATGAAAGGTATTCGATTCCCATCCCCTTCATCTTCCTTTCTAGATTCATCCCTCACGCCTCCCTTCCCCACCAATTACAGCTTTTCTTCTGTGCCCTCTCCTCTCCCAACCTCCAGCTTCCTCCCAGCGGGTGGGAGCTGCCCACTAATGAGACAAGTGACAGAGATAAATGGACAAGGCCCACCCCAAGCAGTGTGTGCCATCACCCAAAAAAGAGTCGGGGAGGCCAAAAAGCCCACAGGGCCTTTCCTTTCGCCCATTTGCTTTACATGGAAGAAGGGAGGAGGGGGAGGTGAAGAGGGAAAGGTGCAGATGATTAGGTTATTGATAATGATGATTAATTTCTTGAGCATGACAAAACCCATTGATCTGTGGGCTGGAAGCAAGCACGGAGATCATGGCCATGCTTTTCACCTCCACCACTGCCTTCCTCAGAGGAACTCTGCCTGCGCAGCACAGCCATTAACGCAGCCTCCTCTGGCAAGGGCCAAGCTTGCAAATCCTCATGTTAAATTCTAAACTCTGTTTCGAAGCAGTGACTTGACATATGATAATTTTTGAAAGTCTGTTCCATTGTAAATATCATGCTAAATGTGGAAGGGCAAAACACTGATGGTCCTGATGAAAACTGGGAGACAAAAAGGAGGAGACACATAGAGAGCTTTGGGCACCCGATCAGGAGCCCAGCCAGCTTCACTGGGTCTGCTCCTTCTGTTTGGAAGTAACCATCAGTACATTCCATGCTCAACAAGCCCCGCTCCTCCACCTCCTCATTTGGAGTGATACACAGAAGAACGTGCTGGTAACTCAAGCAGATGTTCCTCCATGAAGAGCCTTACTGCTAAAATCTTGCCATTCACTCATTGTATTGGGTTTGTGTGGCAGGGTTTCGATAGCAGAGAAAGGGCTACAGGGGTGGGTCCTATAAGAAGATGCTAAAAGCTTCCCTGGCTCCAAGTTGGACCCGCCTTTGGCCAAGGCTGAGCCCACCAGTGACGGTGGTAGTGCCTCTGTGATAACACATTTAAGAAGGGGAAAAAAAAAAACCTGCTGCAGAATCTGCAGCAGAGAGAGAGGAGTGGGATGTGAGAGAAACAACTATGCAGACATCAAGGTCAGTGAAGATGGAGGAGAAGGAGGAAGTGTGCCAGAGCTGAGATTTCTCTGCAGCCCATGGTGAGATGGCAGGTGGCCCTCCTGCAGCTCACGGAGGTTAATGGTGGAGCAGAGATCCACTCGCAGCCCATAGAGGACCACACACTGGAGTGGGTGGCTGCCCCCTTAGAAGCCATGACTTCATGCGCTGCAGCAGTCTGTTCCTGGACAACCACACCCCATGGGAGGGAACCACATTGGAAAAGTTCATGGAGAACTGTCTCCCATGGGAGGAACCCCACACTGGAGCAGGGGAAGAATGTGAGGAAGAGGAAGAGGAAGGAAGAGGAAGGACCAGCAGAAACAATGTGATGAACTGATCACAACACCCATTCCCCGTCCCTCTGCGCCGCCAGAGGGAAGGAGGTAGAGAAATTATGAGCAAAGTTGATCCCAGGAAGAAGGGAGGGGTTTAGTTTTGTCTGGTTTTATTTCTCATTATCCTACTCTGAATTAACTGGTAACAAATTAAATTGATTCTTTTCCCCCAAGTCAAGTCTGTTTTGCCCATGACCCTAATTGGTCAGTGATCCCTCCCTGTTCTTGTCTTGATCCATGAGCCTTTTGTTGTATTTTCTCGTCCCCATCCCACAGGGGCATGGGGAGGAGTGAGCAAGCAGCCGCATGGTCCTTAGTTGCCAGTTGGGCTAAACCACGACAGTCATGCTCAGCAGCCCTTGAAATGGACACTCAGAGTTGCCTTCAGCCCATCTGACAGGGCAGCAGGGAGGTCCTTGTTACACTTCAATGATGATTTTTCTATTTTTCTCCCCATGCAGGGCCAGTGGAGAGCAAAAACGAAGCAGCCATGTCTGAGCTGGTCCCAGAGACACGACAAAAACCAGTTGTACCGATGAAACCCATGGGCATTAATGCCAATTTGCTGGGCTACATTGGTATTGACACCATCATTGAGCAGATGCGCAAGAAAACCATGAAGACAGGTTTCGACTTCAACATCATGGTTGTAGGTAGGCAGGGACCAGCTGAGGTACTGGGAACCACGGCCAGGTGGGAGATTGAGCCCTGCAGGAAGGGCAGGAGGGAGTAAACGGTGCTTGCTCTGAGGGAAACGAGAGCTTCCACAAGGAAAGGGGACACCTATAGCCCCTTCCTCTGCCAGCCTGGCTCTGCCCCCTGGGTCTGCTGTCATTGCTGGGCTGTGGTAGACGTAACGAGCTTCCTCTTTTCAATCCTCAGGTCAGAGTGGACTGGGAAAGTCAACGTTGGTGAATACCCTCTTCAAATCCCAGGTGAGCCGCAAATCTTCTGGCTGGAACCGGGAGGAGAAGATCCCCAAAACAGTGGAGATCAAAGCCATTGGGCATGGTAAGAGTCAGGCTGCTGGGGTGGAGGCAATACCGATGCTTCAGCACAGTCTTGCAGGAGACCCTAGTAGTCTATGCAAACAGTTATTTGGTATTAGGCAGCCCTTTCTGCATGGGAAGCTAAAGGACATGTGCCAGTTTTAGATGGCCTCAGACCCAGCCAAGGCTTCTCTGAAACAGCAATGCCACTGATGCCACAGCCAAAAGCGAGGGGTAGAAAGAGAGTTATAGATATTTCTTCTGCCAAGTCATTAGTCTGCCTGTGTGGATTAAGCCTTGCTGTAAGTCGTTCCTGCCTTCGGACACTTGATGATCTATACAAATTGCATTTGTCAGTCCCATCCCAAGCCTGGTAGAGCACATTCTCCTCGTGGCAAAGCATTGGCACAGCTTCTACAGTGGTGCAGAGTAACGAGCATCATCTCAGATTCAGGATGATGCGTTGGAGGAGAGGATAAGTTGTGTAAGGTAGGTACTATGTCTGGGCCACCGACTGAGCACAAATCCATTTACCTATGGCAGAGTGACATAAAGTGGCTTTGGTGCAGAGGTTACCAAAATTTGGGGTCAGAAATGCAAGTAGGGGTCACAACTCTTGAGGCATGACCCAGCCTGGCCTGGTCATGCTTGCTGGGCAGTGATGAGGGCAGAGTGCTCTTGTTCCCTTGTAGGGCACAGAGACATGTTTCATGATGGAGCAGGTGCCCAGGGAGGCGTATGATTGTTTGCAATTTCTTCCCCAGTCATTGAAGAAGGTGGTGTCAAAATGAAGCTGACAGTGATCGACACGCCAGGATTTGGGGATCAGATCAACAATGAGAACTGGTGAGTATTACATGGTGGAGGTCTTGTGTCCCAGAACAGGCTGCAGTTAAGATGATACATGGAGTGACTCTCATCTACTTGGCCTGGAAAGCACCTGTGAAACTATTGCACTCGGGGTACTCAGTGAACACCACGGGTCTGTGTGCATGCGGGGGGGTGTGCACGCATTACACAGCAAGTGCCTATTTCTGTGTTCAGTCAACAGAAACTCTTAAACATCTCTGCTGATGGTGAGATGCTTGTGGTGGATATTTTTTATGCCTGAGCCTGCTTTGCTGCTGTCAGAGCTGGGAACATTCTAGGCAGGAACATGAGGAGATTTGTACCTGCCTATTCATCTCTCTCTCCCACCTTAACAGCTGGGAGCCTATTGAGAAATACATCAACGAGCAATATGAAAAATTTTTGAAAGAGGAGGTGAATATTGCAAGGAAGAAACGAATTCCAGACACGCGAGTGCACTGCTGCCTCTACTTCATCTCCCCCACGGGCCACTCGTACGTACATGGTCCCTCGTCCTTCCTCAAGCCCTTGGTCCCTTTGTGGCAGGTATATACCCTGCACTACTCCGTCTCTGCCACGGTCCCAGGGGTCTTGCCTGCAGGGCTGGCCACTGTTCAGCTTAACTTCGGGTGCTGTGGGGCTTGAAAGAGTCTAGGATCACAAGGGCAGGAGAAACACCACTGTGTTTTTTGGGAGAGGGCAGGATGAATGGGAGAAAGGAGATTGAGCACAATGGCAGCAAGCGGGGTACGTACAAGGGAGGTTTCATTGATGCCCTGATGCTGGGAGAGTCACCAGGATGAAAGGCGAGGAGGGTAAAGTGACCCTTTCCATGTTGTTCCCTCTTGGGCTGCAGCCTGCGGCCTTTGGACCTGGAGTTCATGAAACATCTCAGCAAGGTAGTGAACATCATCCCAGTTATTGCCAAGGCTGACACCATGACCTTGGAGGAGAAGACCGAATTCAAACAAAGAGTGAGTATCTCCTCTCCTGCATGGGATCCTTCCCTGCCCTGGCTCGGAGGTGGGAGAAATGAGCGGTATCCTTCTTCCTGGGATTGCAGCGCAGTCCCCAGGGCATGCACAGAGTCCAGCACTGAGTTGGTGGGTAAGTCCTGAGACTGTCCTGAAGATGCAGCTGTTTATGGCTGTGAGGGCATCTGTTAGAGGGGGAAGAAAGGTGTGTAGCCCTGTGGCATCTCTTGATATGCTCTGCCACGGGAACTGCAGAGCCAGACGAGTAACAGGGGTTGGGGAAGAAAGTCTCGTCATGGCTGCTGTGTGTCCTGTTGGCTGCACAATTCCCTCAGGACAATCCCTCCAGCCCCTGCCCACTGGAAGGGTTTCCCAGATGTTTGCCTGGCCATCCTACTTGCCTTACCTTCAGGTTTGTGTTGCTTTCTGCTCCAAAATGTCTCTCTACCCAGGTGCGCAAAGAGCTAGAAGTAAATGGGATCGAGTTTTACCCCCAGAAAGAATTCGATGAGGACTTGGAAGATAAAACAGAGAACGACAAAATCAGGGTAGGAAACATTTTATTGTGGGAGGGGAAGGGGGGAGGAGGGGTGGTCATATTTAATGAGTGTAAAACAGATATGTGTCACTAGAACATTTTAAGTGCTTCATGGTCCCTGAACGAAGGATGCAATGGATGTAAGGGATGGTCATTCCTCCTTCCCAGCTTAATTCGTCCCTGTTGTTACTACAGGATGCTGTGAAGGCTGAGTAAGGAGGGACTATGTTTCACCTCCTCTTGCTAAATGCTCTGTTTGGCCACCGTTATGGACCAAAGGGGCCTGATGTGTGGCTGATGTCCAGCCTCTGTCCCAAACAACTGCCCCATGAGCCCTCTCATCCGCTGACAAAACTTGACTTGAAGAGCAGTCCAGTTCTTTGATCCCCCAGCCCCTGTGAGAAGGCTTGTCCCATGCTTCCCTCCTCAGGGTATTAGAAACTGTCTCTTGATTTCAAGCCTGTGTTTGTTCATGGCCAGGTTGTACCCAGGACTATATCTGTGTTCTTGTGCCAACACTGACTCAAGCAGTTCTCCTACCTAGCAGTCCCCTCCACCACTCAAGGCATTTGTAGAGAACAATATCATCCTTTGCTGACCTTCTGGTCAGCTAAAGGAGACAAGCTCCTTTGGATGAGCTTCCCATTCCTCAGTAGTCCATGCTCTTAGTCACTTTTTTCTGTGCCTGCTCCAGTTTGATTTCATTTTCTAGCACTGGTGCTGGTAACCCATGCTCTCCTGTCTCTTCTGAGATCTGAACTGCTAAGCCCATGGACCACATGTGCTTTTTAAACAATTGCATCACACTGGTGGCTTGTGGTCATCTTGTGACTGACTAGCACGTGGGGTCCTTCCCCTCCTTCAATTGTTGCTTGTTCACGAGCTCGGGTGTCGTTGCAGAAATCCTTAATGCTATTCCCTAAATACTGCTCTTTGTGTCTCAAACTTACATACATTTGCTCAGATAATAACACAGTCTGCCTTTGTCCTGACCACACCTCTTGGCCTTGTGATGCTAGTGCTTTTAATTATCCCACTCATCATTTTTGTGGCTAGGCCGTTAATGAAAATAGATTGGCCTCCACGTCAGTCCTCAGGAAACGCCAGGAGTCTTGTGTTCCAGCGTGACACTTGCCCTTTCAACTCCCCTAGCTGTCACAGCCCCAACAGAAATTCCCACCTTCCCCAGCTTAATTAATCATTTGGCAACACATCACACATTCTGGGAAAGACTGGACAGGTTTTGCTTCTTCTCCAAACTGCTACTGGGTTCGAGGAGGGCACTACATTTTGTTCTGCACTTCAGCATCATTGCCCTAGGTTTGGACAGTCTCACACATAAGAAATAAACTGCTTTTTAATCTCTATTCCTGTGGTAATTGCAGTCTCTTCCCAGGCCCAGGGACATCTAGAAAGCAAAGTAAGTCTATGAGCATCTGCACAACCTTATGGATAGCAGGGTCTTCTGCCCCCTGTGCTCTGGAAACAGGCATTTTTTCCCTGTGCTTAGCGGTATCTGGGTCCCCAACAGCCTCACCAACTATCCCACTTCCCAGGAAAGCTGCACCACTACCTCATTTCTGGCCTTCCTCAGTTCAACCATTTCAGCCATTAAACTTGTTGAATGTTCATGTGTCTTGTTGGGGAGGATTATTTTGAGTCTTCTAGTCTTCTTCTGGTGAAGAACTACAAACTTGGTGAGAAAAAAATCACTGCAAACTACCCCTATGAGCAGCTGTGGGCTGACAGACCCTCTCCTGGTTACACAAAGGTACTTCTTCTCTGGTCATCCCCCTCTTCAGAAATGCTGGAGATGGGTGCAGAAAAGTTCTGTCCCCCTCTCTAGAGCCCTTTGCACTGCTGCAGGCTACCTACTAAGCTCAGGGGGTGCAAGGACACCTGTAAAGCAAAGGCCGAAAATGCTAGGGATAGCACTGATGGATGAAGAGTACAGCCAGTGAAGTGTTGCCCTAAGAACCTCTTCTCTTGGAGAAAGCCTTGTGTTTGGTGAGCTGAGAGGACGAAAGGTGGATGCAGAACAGTGATGGTGATGCTCTCTGGAATGGGTTCAGTAGGCCTCTCCATATGTCTCTCCCCAGCAGGAAAGCATGCCCTTCGCAGTAGTGGGCAGCGACAAGGAGTACCAAGTGAATGGCAAAAGAGTCCTGGGCAGGAAAACACCTTGGGGAATCATTGAAGGTAAAAACCCCTTTGCTTCTGGGAGCTTCTGGGAACTCTGCAGGCCTCAGTAATAGACAAGGGTCCAGATAACATGTCCCATGGCTACATTCCATTCCTTTTACATAAACTTTTTTAAAATAAGAAAGAGGAGAACTCTGAAATAGTTCTGTTGGGAGGGAACTGCTGGTCAATGTGGTACCACTACTGCTGACTGGCAGAAGCTGTAGCCATTCCAAACACTATGGTACGTGAAGCTGAGCTCCTGAAGTTGTCTTGTTTCTCAAATGATAATTCACATGTGTCTGCTCAGCACCTCTTAGTGTGTCTCCTCAACGCCTGACAGTGTGGTGTTCAAACAACTGTGTCCTTTCTGAAGTATGCAGGCTCTGCCCACCTGGAACCTGCCTCATGGCAATGACCTTCCCATGCTCTGTAACCACAAAGGGGCTGCTGAAAAGATTAAACATAACAATTGCTTGCTTTCTTTTCAGTGGAAAACCTCACTCACTGTGAATTTGCCCTACTTCGAGATTTTGTCATCAGGTAAGGCCATGGCCATGCAACAGTTTGCTCTTGATGAGCAGAGAGTCTTCCTGAGACCTTCTTAGAGTGAAGTATCCCCTATGGAAAGGAAAATAAAGTACATTTCAGGTAGTGAAAGCTTATGTGGGGTAGGGTTGGATTGAGTTAAGGGGTAGGTACTTTACTGCCTCTCTTAGTGACATGACCACTATGTCAAGTAGGTGCTAGTTTTCATGTATGAGCTGGATGCCTGGAGAAAAGCAGGGTACTACCATCCCCCTTATATCCTATTGGGGACATTAGGTTGCAACAACGTCTATTTGTTGCTGACAACAAGACTGGGCTGAAGTCAGGGAGAAAGAGGCCACTACCCCATCCTAGACCATGTGTCCTACCAGGCTGAGGGATATGCTGGAACATATGACCTGGAATTGAAAAGCTCCATATTTCATTCGGCTTTCATTGTCCTGTCTTATTTCTACTTTGTTTCATGAAGTTGTCTCAGCACAAGTGATATCTGCCTCAAATTTTGTAGAAAAGCTGCAGATCCAGGGTCACCTCTGTTCCCTATATATACAATAAGGTTTTAAAACAACACCAAAAATAAGAAAATAAGGGAAACACACTTCAAAGCCAGAGCCCTGTGGCTCATTCTACCTGTGGGTATGGTGGTATTGAGACACTTGGCCAGGTACAATGCCTTGACATCACCCTGCTGCCCTCTTTTTGTTCTGTGATACCTTCTGCAGCAGACGTGCTTTCCCCAGGTCTTCCAGTAAAAACATCCTAATCAAGTGACCATCACAAAGCATACAGCAACCCAAGTCCACAGGCTTTCTATGGAGGTTAGGGGCTATTGCTCATGGCAGTGTTCAGAAAAAACAAAGTGGACCTGATACACCCTCCTAGTGCTACCTTGTCTGACCACTGCTTCAGATGAGACAAGACCTGTCTGCTTCTGACACACCAGAACGGCCAGTAGCTGTCCCACTGGCAGAGGTGTGAGAGGGACAGGGCACTGGCAAGCATAACCGGAGATTTCAGCCCATAGTCTGCATCCTATGGACGTGTTCTTGGATGTTGATGCTCCAGCTCTCAGTTCTGTATGATGGCAGCCATGCAGAAAGAGGGGTACACTCATTAGCCAGACTGACTGGAGAAATCTTCTATTTATCTTGGGGAATAAAATGATCATCAGAAGATTAATACTGACGCCCTGATATTGGTTATTGTATTCTCTTTCCAACCACATCTTCGTTTTGCTCCCTGCAGGACCCACCTTCAGGACCTAAAAGAAGTGACCCACAACATCCACTATGAGACCTACAGGGCCAAGCGGCTGAATGACAACGGAGGGCTGCCCCCCATGACTGTCGAGACAGAGGAAAACCATGAAAGTAACCTGTGAATGACACCCCACTCCCCCTCCGCTGTCACCTGGTGTCTCTGGATATGACGACCCACCCCCTCTACCCTTGACTCTATGACAGGCCTGTCTCTGAATCATGTGCCGCATCCTCTGCGTGTGTGAGAGGATGCGAATGTGAGTGCGTGCCTGCGTGCGGAGAGGGATGAAAGGTGTTTCCCCCAGCCTTCCCAGAGTGTCCTCATTCTCGGTTTGTTTTTTGCACAGCGGACTGTCTGTCACCTTCCTTTCTCTCATTTCTGTCTCTCAACTGTGTGTCTTGCCTGGGGGAAACAGGGATGGGGAGGAAAGACTTCTGGGGACAGGTGGGCTTTGGAGGTGGGAGATCTGGGGCATGCTGTGGTTCTCTTATCACTTGGAGACATGGCAAGGAGAGACTCCAGGAGAAACGGTTGAGTCGGTGCACGCAGTGTCTTCAATGACAGCAGCAGAGCTTTCTTTTGGGTCCTCGGTGGGTGGGAAGGCAGCTGGCTGGTCTGAGGGCGTGGTGGCCCAGCATTTTATCCCCATTTTTTGCTGTGGCTGCCCAAGGGGAAATGGCAGCTTGGAAGTGGATAGATGGGAGAAGTGACAGACCGATGTGTTTTGTGGTTCAGAGTAAGTGACCGGTGGGAGGAGGTAGAATTAGTTCTTGGGTTGTAGCATCTATTTGAGAAGCACCAAAGTACTTCGGGGAAAACAGCCATATTTTCCGAAAGAAAACCCAGGGGAAAAGATCATGTCTCTGCTGCAGAGGGTACACTTGTCCTGCCCAGCGCTAAGATCGAGAGCCATGCTTGAGTGTCACAGGCTTTTGATCCCATGCAGCGTCCAGCTCAGACCAAGCCACCCTGAAGTCACTCCACCTCACCCACCACTGCAGCAGTCCCTCTAGTCTCTCTCTGCTGCCGCTGAGCAGGCCCTGGCCGAACCTTTCCCCCACAACACTGCCCCACTGCTGTGGGAGCACAGAGAAGACTGTGCCACAGTGGGTCCCTGCTGGGGACTCCCCAGCAACAGCTCCACTTGGCACAGCGCCTTCAGGATCTTGGAGGAGTGCAGGCCAGTGCTCCAGCAGTCTCAGCCTGTGCTGTTCCTCCATGCTCCTACTGCCCTTCCAGCTTTCATGTCCTCCTCTCCTGTGCTTTTGTCCTTATTCCCTTTTAGCCCTCCATAGCTTGCTTGCTTCCTTCCTTTCCCTATCTCATTTTCTCTGCTCTCAACCCTTTCTGTCTCTCCTTCGTTCTTCCAAGTACTTGAATCTGCTTCTTCTCCAGGCCATTTCCTCCCTCTCCCTCTTCCAGCCCTCACATCTCCTTATCAATGTGCTTTCATTGTGTTGGGTTGAAAAGCTGTAGTTTTACCTTCCCTTGGAGTGGACGGGGAGGGAAGTTAAAGACCTTGGAGCAGAAAGAGGCATGGCTTTACTGAAGACCATATGCGCGTGTCTAGCCAGTGTCAGCTATTTTTCTGGATGTCTCTGAGCCAGGCAGAAAGTGTCAGGGCTGGATGGGCAGAAGGGAGGGGGGAAGAAAATCACAGATGTCCTGAGTTTGGCAGTCTCTGCTTGTCACCTAGCATATGACACAGTTGGCAGGGGCTGTCATCTCCAGGAGAACAGCTGGTTGCATTTAAAATGCCTGTGCAGAATGCCATGGCATGGGACAGTAGTGCTGTGAGTCAGGGGAATTGCACTGAGTTTGGGATGGGGGTTGGAAAGGCTGGCATGGGAGGGAGGAAGAGGTCCCAGTGAAGGGATTAGCAGGGCAGAACTCAAGCCAAGCCTGAGGATGGATGACAGAGCTGTATGGGGGCCAGGGCTGGGAATAGGGTGCTCCAAGCCTTACCAAAACCGTCTAAGAGCATTTGTCCATCTTGTGGCTTTCTCTGGTGCTGTCACTACAAAGCAAAGGTCTCTTCACTCTCGCTCCCCCTGTCCGCACAAATCAGCTGTGCTCAGCATCACTAGGATATCAGGGCCGTACCGGTCCTTCGCAGTCCTTTCACCAGCTACGTTCACAGCTCCTGGTGTTCCAGGATGCAGCGTGTGCATATAGCCTTGCACTCGCCTTCCCGCCTGCACCAGGCCTCCTCGGCCCCACAGAGAACAAAAACCTCATCACGGGTGCCAGCAGCCGTACCACAGACCTTGCAGAAACCATCCTGCTACACTGCTACCCATTCCGTCGCCCACACTGGCCGTCCACAGCCCAACACGGGGTCAAAGCCTCCTCCCAACTTGTCTCCACCAGCCACTGAGCCATGGACGTGCCCCTGCATTACTGGCTGCCAGAAGCATCTTCTCAGCCTGCTCCACTGTGGCTGCTCCTGCCTAGCCTCTCCTCTACATAATGTTGTAAGTCCGGTGCAAGAGGAAAGACTCGCCCAGGGCTCCTCGCCCAGGGCTCCTCTTCTTCACTGCACTGAAGCATGAAGCCACGCTCCATTGTCTTTAGCAGGAGCGTGTGAAGGTGTTCCCTGTGCTTGCTTTCTCACACAGCTTTCTTCGGCAGCCATGTGACTGCTCTAGAGGACCTCTTGCCATCGGGCTGCATCACCCTGGGCTGCGGTACGGTCGTTTCTGCGACTTTTGGGCCCAAACAAGGGTTATGGCGGAAAGCCAACGCTGCCTTGCTTAATGAAAGCAAAGCAGGTCCCACGAAGCAGAAGAAAGATATTTTCCTTTGCCTGTAACATGGACTGCAAGGACAAGGCTGTGTGTTTTACCCTGTATGTTTAGGAATTTTTGTTTGGTTGTAATAAGGTGTTTTTTAAGCTCTGCTCTGTAATTTCCTGTCAGATCATGGACTACTTCTAAGGAATGCATAAAAGCTTGCTGAGAAAAGCAGGCTTAGGTATTCCTCACTGCCATCCGCTCATGCAAATATCCTACCGACATCTGCCTATCTCCCAGAAAGTCTACAAATGGCAAACATCAAAAATTTCCCATGTTGCGCAACAGCAGGAGATACTGTTGGGAGAAAAGTCTCTGCCGACAGATAAACTGGGAAAAGCCTGAACGGATCCTAGCTCCCGTGTGCCACCAGCTGAGTCCTGGGATGACCACAGCACCTCAGATGTTCCCCTCAGAGGTATCACTTGAACAATATCATAGCGGGGTAGAGTCTACATTTTACACCGGAGGCACCCACTCGGTGCGTTCAGAGACTCACAAACTCTTCACCACGTAAGCCACCGACCGGAAAAATTTTGCAACGCGTGGTAAATCCCAAAGGCCTTTTTTTTTATATACTGGACAAATTCCGTTTAGGATAACGACGAACACGGCAGCAGGCACGGGGACGCTGCGAGCGCAGAGGGCAGGAGGAGCGAGCAGCGCTACGTGCAGGCATAAGTATTTGTGGGTAGTTGTGAAAACAAGTCAA